ACACACACCACGCGCGCGCGCGCGCGCGCGCGCGCGCGTAACAATACACGTACATATATTACTGTATTATTTATTATACATATATATATATATATATATGTGTATATATAATATATAAATATATATATATATATATATATATATATATGTTATTTCATTTCTATACAGAATTTATATTATGGCCATTAACTTCAATCAATCCACTGTTTTTGCAAAGTTTGAATAGATTCGATATGTGATTATCGTTCATAACTGCAAAATCTCCAGCGAGTAATTTCTTTTTTAAAGAAGAGCCTATTAAATCAGGATGACCAATTAACTTTGTTCCAATTTCCAAATCGTCTAACCATATTGTATCTCTGAGATGAAGGCGAACCTATATAATAATTCATTTATATATTTTCCTTTCTCAATTATGTATTTCATATAATTATTCATAATCTGGCAAATTCTTACTCTTCCGAAAATGTAAGATCTTTTGTCGAAATTTTCTGAAAACCATTTGTGAACCTCCTCATTAGTGTAACGATTCCATGTATATTCTTCGTCATATGGCATTAAATCAGCTAAAAATATTTCGACAGCGTGCGTTGGAAGATTCAATAATTCCTCTGGGATATGCATTAGTTTATATGCCTAAAATACCACAAATAACATGCTTATAATAACAAAATGTTTAAATAATATATTTGGATATGTATATATGTAATCATATTTCTTGTGTAATAAAAAATATGAGATTTGCTTTTCATAGCTAAACTAATTGTCATTATATTTAAAATGAAATAGATGTTGATTGATTTTGTGAAAACAAGATAAGTTTTACTGTAGTCTAGTGCAGCGATAAAAAATAAGTCTATCATTATTTCAATTATATTTAAATTCTATCACGTATAAAAAAATTATTTTTGAAATATTGATATCAAAAGAAAATGTTTAGGCAAAATTTAAATATAATATAAAATAATAATTTTACATCAATGCATTCATGTATAATGCCAGTATCGATGCATCTCACATCTACAAATTTCATATTTCCAGAATGATTTCTGTCATGTCTGATGCGTCTTATCTGTACTCGTTTAAATATATCGATAGTTTCTTCGAAAACGCAGATGTCACCTATATTTGTCGACTTACATACTTTCCTGTAATTATTTATTAAAAAATAAATCATACTTAGAATCAATCAAAAACTTAGAGAAAGTAAGGATAGCTAATAAAAATTATGAAATTGTCCAGCATATTACCTATTTTCAATATTGCTATAGTAATTTTGTATTTTAGCTGTAGTTTGCACATACTCGATGTTGGAGTATGTTATTTTTTTTTCATTGGAATTTGGAATATGTTCGATGATCCTTGCAGAAAAATGCGTTGTATCATGAATGTACATCACCATCAATTTCACCTTATCATTTCTGTGAGAACATGATGAAAGACAATTGAACAATACAATGAAGTTGAAGAACAATACAACAATACAATAAAAAATTACTTACATCTGTATATTTTTATCTATCTTTGTCACATCGATCTCAGGAAGCACACAATGTCTAAATTCACAGCTATTTTGTTCTTTGCAAAAGCCGAACGATTTTATATTATCACATAAAGCAAATTCTTTTTTATTTCTTTCCACCATAATTTTTATTTCCTAGAATATTTTATATTTTATAATTATAATATATTATATTTTATATTATATTTTATCAGTTTAAACATTAACGAAGTAGCATTTTAAGCAATTATAACAATTATTTTAACAATTTATTAGCTTACCTCAGTGTAGTTTAGCTTATCAGGATTTACTACAACTCCTGTTCGCTGCAATAGTTTTACTATGTATGGAAATTGCACATTGTTATTTTCATCAACAATTATATGAACTTTACAGTTAGTAACATCCTGAAATTTATAACAATATTAATAGCAAAATATTTAAGTATAAATATATTGTAATAATTTATTCAATATAAAAAAAGAATTTATAAATTTTAAAACAAAAAATCTCGAGTCCACTTTATAATTACCTGCATTAAATTATCTAAGAGTAGAGAAAATCTATAATTGAATTGAGTTTTTGAATTTTAAACACACAGAGTGATGTATGAGCCATTGAATATTAGTAAGATTAAGATCAGCTAAAATTAAATCAGTACATATTAATATTGGATAAAAACCTCGTACACATGCCATCCAACTTTCTCGTTTGCCTGCAAAGTATATAAATTAATAATGATCAAAAAAATAAAATAAAATGTATCATTAATTATCAAAAAATTCGTCTATAAAGTAAAATAATTTATTTCTTAATGCAATTAAAGTTACCTCGTATATCAAATGATTTCATCTTTTCATGAATTAGCAGAGTTTTCTTTGTTGAAAGTAAAAACGAATTTAACTCTTCGGCTTCTTCGGCATTTATACAAACTATTGCTGTTCTCGATGTGATATAAATATCCTCTAGTAACTCTAATATAAAAATATGTAATATGTATAATAATTAATAAAAACATTAGAAATACAATATTTTGTATATAAGTACGTGGGTATGTGTGCGTATATTATAAATAATCAACATTAATGTAGCAAAATACTTATAAATATCACATTTACCTAATATTCTCTTACCTAATATTTTTTTATTCTTGTCTGTAGATATTAAACGACTAAGTTTTGGACGTATAGATTTAAAAACAATAGCTTCTACAAATGACCCAATGCATATGTATGGATTATGCATCACTACAGATACAAATTTTTTCATCTCAATCGTACATTCTGTTGCCGACATAATTATCTGCAATATCGGCCTGTCGTTGCTTTGCGGGTCACGGTTTTCGATTATCTTATGTATTTTAAACAATTCCCCTAGCTGTTAAAAAATTAATGTTTAAGTTTCCTATAGCAATTAATATGAAATAGTGCAAAAAGACAATACAAGATTTTACTAACCGACTTGAAATATTTATCTAAAATTATATCAGCATTGTCAAGTAGTAAACAAGAAAGTTTGTCGAATGATAATAGACCTTTATTTTTATTCAAAAATCGAACTAGATATCGCGGTGTGGTCACCAAGATTTGACAGCCATTATATATCATTGCCTGAAAGAAAAAAATGATCAGTTTCTTATGTTCTTCACGCTTTTATTATGGCAAATATTTGTCATGTAATATTATCAAATAATCAGGATTATAAAGCATAAAAATGCTTACATATATACAGAAATCATGATTTGATTTTAACATATACTTTTATGTAACATTTTCTAATAAACTATTTTGAACAATTTTTATTTAATGATAAGTAATAATAAAGATATTTAAAACATATTTTAATAAAAAACAAAAAATTAATATAAAGTATAAAATTATTTTATTAATAAAAAGATAAATAAAATGTGCTTTGTCTTAAATAATCGATGTAACCAACGAAAAAGTTCAAGGATTGACAAAATTTTAAAAAATCGAACAACTTTTAATTAAAAAAGTGAAAAAGATATTGAATGTACTCGTGAAAATATAGATAAATAAATTTACCGCTATAGATCTATCCGACTTGCCATTAAATGCTCCAACAGATTTTAAATTATTAAATTTTCGAAGGAATGACTCACACAATGATTGAATATAAATTACTTCAGTAGATGAAGCACATAAAATCAGTGCCAATGGATGAGTTGCACTATGTATTTCCTAAAACACAATTATTTATATCAATTATAGACTTTTTACATACACCATGTATGTATGTAATTTGAAAAACATAAAAAATTTGAGATATTCAATTCTTTGTAATATACATATAAATAAAGTTATTTTACATTTTGATGTGTAGCTATTTGTCCACAAACAGCCATTACACATCCAGTTGTTTTACCACATTGTGATGATCCGATGGCAACAACATTTAACCCTTTATTTATAGCTGGCCATATATAAGACTGAAGTTTTCTAGGCCTCATGGAGTTAATGCATTCATTCCAACTCTAAAAAATAAAAATATACTTTAAATATATTCTTACAACATACTAAATTAATTAAATATTAAATATAAATATGCTGAATTAGTCACCTGATGTATTCCTCTCGGATATCTAAGGTCTCTAAGATCATTTAAAACACCACAGTCTATTGTGCTTTGTACTACAATCTTTTCACTAATAAAAGATAACAAAAATATAGAAAACATAAATATATCTTTTTATATAATCTTGAATGCTTATACTTATGTAAATTATTTTACCTGAGAGAAAATTTTGTTTCATGATGATCAATTCCATTAATATGTAGCATGTTGCTTTCATGTCTTTTATTCCTTGAACAACGTACATGTAAAACGTTCTCTCGTTTTTCGTCAAATTGAGTAGAGGTTTCAATATATTTTAATAATTCTGGATAGATTAAATTATGAGGCAATATATTATCCAAATATCATTATTAAATCTATCTATCTATCTCTTTTACAATTTTTACATGAACAGATTTCTTATATATTTATTAACATATCAATAATATTAAATTATTTATCAATTTAATGACGTAATGTTATAACTACAATTTTGATTAAAATATTGCATTTCAAGGCTGAATTGGCGCAGTTAAGAAAGAATGTATATAAAATATGTATATAATATATAAAAGGAATGTATATAAATTCACGAAGGTTGAATTAGACATAAGATCTTATACCAAATGACCAGAAAAGTATATACTTATTTATATACATAATAATCAATTATTTATTTACTAAAGTTTTATTAAATCTACTTTAATAAATTTAATGTAAGAAAACTTCTCAATGAAAATATGAATATATGTACCTCCTTCTATATACACGGCATGATAATTATTGAATAAAGTTTCACTTAATGAAATGACAATGTTATTAATGGTAAGATAAATTTCACCATATTCTCTTCCATTTTTGTCTGTGATTAAATGATCAAAGTGAACACTTTCAGATGCACTGAGGAGATGTTTTGTAAACTGAATTGCCTCTTCGGTCCATTTTTCTAAAATACTTTAAATAAATAATCGGTAGATAAATAATAGATTTATCTATTTAGATCAATCTCTTGAATATTTTTTATAAAGAAACAAAATTACTGTAAATGAGAATACATCTTACATTGCCATAGCGTTAGAACCTTTCGAAATTGCGCCTTTTCTTCTGATACAAATCGGCAACATACCATATATACCAACAGTTTTCGTTAGATATTTGTCAGAAATAAAATCTTGTGGAACTATACAAAATTTATCTTTGGTTAATTCAATGCACGTGCCATGATCCACTAAAAAAATACAATATGTTCCATCCTTTCTCTTACTCTTTACTAAACCTCGCCAAACAAAGGATGGTAATTCAAATTCAGTCTCATTACTACTTTGTGTATCATTATACACAAAAACCATCTGCAAGATAAATCAGATATTACAGAAAGAAAAATGTACTTATATAGGATATCAATTTTTATATAATACAATTAATTATAATTAGCACAAATGCAATGGAGAACATGAAACTTACATCGTCAATTTTGACATCATTCTCGTTATATTTTTTTTTCAGAAAATCGTCTGTTTGCATAAAATTTAATAATTTTTTTTCTATTTTACGAAGTGTCTCAGTATGATTTTCAATTTCGTAAACTCTCATGATACATGGATTTTGTACATTTTTTATTTTTATTGCTTTGGCAGTAATAGGAATAGCATCTAAAGCTACAATATAGATTTAATAGTAAAATAATTTAACATTAAATAATTTGATTTCTCTAACATATCATTACTATAAATATCTAATATTACCTTGGCGAGCACAAGGCTTACTTGTCTTTTGTAGTTGAAAAGATTCACAGTTCTAAAATAAAAAAAAATATTTTTTATTCATTGAAATAAAATTTTACTAACATATGTTAAAGATGACTTATTTTTCTTGCTAATATCTTTGTTTAGATGATACACTTGTTCTTACTTTTTTATTGTCCGTTGCTGTTGTTACGGTTGATTTTTCAATAGGAATCGGCATTGTTTCAAGCGACAAGTGTATTTTAATTTAATTTAATTATAAGTTATTTCTTTAGATTTCTTTTAAAATTTTTGCTGAATGTGCTCTAGTCAGTCTTCCTTCAAAAGTATTAAAAACACCAAAAGATAACCTACAAAAGTTTATTGTAGGAGAGAAGAAAGATCAGTAGCACTTTCTGTTCTTTGTAACTGAACTAGTGTACACTTGTTGTACTTAAAATGAAATAGATATATATTTGAAGCTTGGCGAAAGAGAGAACGAACGTTTCAGTGCACACACGAGTGTACTGTGTAAAATAGATGGATAATGTCATTAATTATAAGTACAAACCTGTAAAAAAAAGTAAACAATACAACTTAAACGGCAAACAAATTGACTAATTATAACCAAGAATTTTAAAATGATGATCTTGTATTTTCGTAATATTTTGTAATAATTCTCAATGTGATTGTTCGATTCGCTTAATTCGCTAACGTAATACTGTCTAGAATTGATAATTTTGCTTATTAATATATTGATATTTACGTCTGTTGTCTTTCTTATTCCTTATTGCATAGCTGTCTTTTCATAACATGCGGCGATTGACATCAAGGATGAAACTATGAGAACTTTAAATCTTGCGTTCACCAAATGACCATCGCTGATGAACTAAAAAAATAGTACAGGCAATAGAACTCATCCCACTTATCACAACGAGCGTAAGGTCATTTGTCCTTGTTCAACATTGAACATTTGAACAGAGAATAATTCCATGAATACTGTAGACTGTAGCGTGAGTTGAACGCAATCCAGTAAAGTGGTGGATGGAAAAGGGTCGAATGATTAGACTCCAAAACTAAAATTTTGCACAAAATTGGAATTTTTATCATTTATAATGAGTTTTCTTTATTATAAAAATATGAATGTGATTTCTCACAAAACAGACAATATTTATTTTTGTATGTAAATAAAACATTCAATAAAATATAAAATAAAGTAATATTTGGTAAAAAATTTCCATATATAATTAGATATAATTATATAATTATATATATATATATATATATATATATATATATATATATATATATATATATATATATATATAAATTATATATGGAAAATTTTTTATTGAATATATTTTACATTAAATTTTAATGTCAAATCGATACAATTGTGGAACGAAAAAGGCAAATCTAATTTTCATTTCTTTGACACACTCATCTCATTACACTCAAATTTGCATTAGAAATGAAAAAAGAATAGAAAGAGCTTTTATGGAAAAAGTAAACTAGTAAAATTTTATAAAAAAAAAAAAGAAATAAAAAGTACATCTGGTCATCTTAGTATTCGAATCTCTTGACATCTTTTAATTATTATATTATCGAAAGTCAAATTCTGACTCGAATGTTATCTGACAAAATTTGACAGTGTCCGGCGCGACAGTAGTTTCGGCTCGTTTTTAGATCAGTCCGCATTCACCTATTCTACCTTGAGATATTGACCCCCATGACGTAATTGATCGACAAGTATTAAGAAGTATAATTACAAGTATAAGGAATTGATGAAATAAATGAAATAAATGAATTGGCACTTACTCAATGAATATAATAATTATAAACCCTCAGAAATACAAATTTCTTAATAGATAGATATAGAGTGGCATAGTAGACAACGCACTGGTCTACTATGCTAGAGCTCCCGGGTTCGAATTCCGGCAGGGCCAAAAATATTTATGCTCGGAAGGCAATGGCAAATCACCGAAAGTAACTTTGTCATGAGTGTCTCTCTATCAAAAATTTGCCATTCGAAACCAGCGTTAAACAGCATAGATTCCCTCATATACCTGTGTATAATCGTCGTGCGCATCACAGGTGTATGAGAAAGATCACGCTCGGACACGAGCAATAGGGATTGGATGATGAATAGATGTGGAATAAAATCCTTGGTTACTTCCAATCCAAAATTTCAATTTAAGATGGAGACGGAATTACAATGGTTGCTTTCCGCTTAAAGTGGAGTTATACCAAAACTTCTTTTAACTGGACGACTGTCTCTTGATTTCGACTGACTTGAATCGGCGGTGCATTGCAACTTCTTGTCGGCAGATCCTTTGTTTTGATGTTTATCTTATTTAGTCTGAAGTTGTAGATAAAATTCCAGAGTGTCAAGGTTTAGTTTTCACGGCTTTGCATTGCTCCTTGACTTATTATTCATGAATTTTATTCTGTAACTATTGCAATAAGTGTCTTATATGATATTCTTTATATGATCCACATATAAAATGAAAATAAAAATGATATAATCCGATAATACAATATAAAAATGGTGATAATATAATAATATAATATAATGTAATATAATAACATGTCCGATGTAGATGTAAATTTTTTAGAATTATTATTTTACAATTGTCACGTCTTATCCCGCTCGGGAAATTACACGAATCGGCCTCTCGTTGGGATATTGCAAGGTTGATGAAACAGAGTCTACAACGACGGGACAATCACAACAGATAAGGAGCATGGGTATAAGAGAAATGAATAAATATCTTTGGATACAAATGAGAAAATGCATTTATTCTCGTACGAAAAGGATACAAAAAGAAATTACAAGAAATTTACGCGTATACAACACTAAATGCATTTATCACCTACTTCGAGTTAACCGAAATCGATATTTCGCTTACGGTGAATTGCGCAGCACTACTATCGCGGCCCGTTAGAGAGAGAGTATCGGTTAGTGTAAATTATAAATAATAAACGTACGACGAAAGGGAGAGAGTACGCGGTGCGCGTGAAGTACCGTCGCGTTCAATTCTCGCACTCGATGGACGATGATGGTCTTGCTTGCCCGAGTCCGTCTGCGGTTTCGCCTTTCACAAACGGATGCCTGGGTTTCGGGATGCGACGAAGTTGAGAAGTTCCTCGCTGTCCTCGCACACGAAGGGCTTCACGTGGTGACATGCCACGTCGTGCCACTTGATGCCGTCGTTGTAGAAGTTGTTCAGAATGGACAGGCAGGACTCGTCGTTACCCTGCAATTAAGCGAAATAATTATCTCCTCGATAAAAACGAGATAGTTTTCAGGAGAAAGACATAGAAATTAAAGTGATGCGTCCTGTGCGAGTCTTCCTTTTAAAAATTCCTACTTAAATTTCAAAGTTCTTATTTTCTCAATTATTCTTGGAGTTCTTTGCTTGTATATCACGTTTAATTGGTTTCTTCTAAATGAAATATATTTTAATAAAACAACATTTTTTTTTTTTTAAGGCAAATAATAACGCTAAAAAGCAAAGAAAGCTTTTTAAAACAGCAGCATAAGGAAATTACATAAAATTGTGAAACGAGTGTTTTCAAGATTTTTCTAACATTTTAAAAGACCGAAGATCTTAAGATCTTAAGCAGCAATTACATCTAAATTCATAGCGAGACGCTGATAAAAAATTACTAAAGGTCACATATACGACAGGGGCAATAAATCCGGAGATGCCAAAGCACTTTCACTTTACCCTACGAGAATATAAATCAGAGTTTCACGTGGTCGGTGCCGAAGGAAAGCGCATTAGACTCGAACGTACTGCTCAGGGAAATCGTAACGCGATGTCTTTCTTTTATATTCTCGAACGTTATGTGTAACAGTCCAAGTATTAGAAACACGAGTAAAAACTCTACCTGTGCAGCTTCACGATTGTCTGGTTGTGGTTGACCATATCCTCCGGTGTTGCTCCAATCTCCGGAGTTGCGCTGAGTCGTTGGACCAATCTTGGCGCCAGATCCTGACCAGAACCATCCGTTAATGTTCTGGGGCTGAAGATCGGGTCGGTCGCAGCCATTGAAGTTGCATTTACGGCCCGACGTCCAAATGTATCTCACGTTTCCTGATCAAACAATAGCTGCGATGTAATTCATAGTAAAATTAAGCTTGCTCACTTTCATTCAATTAACTTACTGCAGGTAAGAAAATGTTTTCTGGGAAGAAGAATATTCTTGGATGGTATAAGAGGTCTCTATATGGAGGAGGAAATAATTAAATTTCCTATTATCTAATATAAAATAATGGCGATGCAAGCAAAATTGCAAGATTGATTTTTCAATCCTTAAATAATAGCTCACGATGCATTGATTATCTTTACCCGGACGTCCGCATCACTGTGACCGCAATAGGAACTTCATTTCCTAAGTATAAGATTATCCGAAATATGACAGTAAATCTTAAAGGATTTGCTCTATGAGGAAGCGAGTAAATAGCTATTATTTTCTTAAGAAGGCCGGATGTCTTAATCAAATAATGTCTTATTATCTGAATAATAGCTCAGACAACCTTATATAAAATGTCACGTTCAAACTACAATTTGGCTATCATGAAGACATAAAAATGCTGTTTAATTTCATGCTTTTAATTTCTATAATAATAATGATAAGTTAATATAATAAATTAATTAGTCTATTCTTTATCATTTACATATAATTTTATACGTGAGATATTTGTTAAGTAATTTGAAAAACTACAAGTCTATATTTGACATTTCTGCACGCGCATATATATTTTCTAACGTTGAATTATTTGAAGAGAGTGAATTTGGAACATTTGGGTGACGTTTTTCGAATTTACATACCCGCAGAATTTCGTATGAATTAATTAAGATAAAAGTTAATGGATATTAAATTTTTTGAAGATATCGAATTTGTGCTCAATTTGTAGCTTTATTATCGCTCCATTAAACATCTTATATTAAATTTCACTCAACATTTTCTTGTCTCATCTGCGATTTCGTAAGGCATACATTTGGAATTATTTTTCATTTATCAAATATCGATATCATTTTAAAATCGCATTCAATAATAATTAAATCAGTTTTATAATTCTTTTCTCTAAATAATTTTTTTACTAAAGGAAGAGAGGAATTTGTTTAAACAAGCGAGATTGTTTCCAAGAGTTCACAAAACAAAAGTTAAAACAATGAAAATTTTAATTAGAACATGTGCGATATCTATCTAGTATGATAATTCACATAAATAATTTATAAATATTAGTATTAGATAGATAGTAATAGTGTTATTTAAATAAGAGAAATCAATTAAGAATATATTACTTGAAAGTTAAAGAGAAAAAGAAAGCGAGTGAATTGATGACAATTGAGGGAATACGTATATGGAAATCATATCAACCGAAGATTATACGAAAATGTATACATAAAAGTTACCGAACAAAGAAAATCTTCTAAGTAAATGAATGTTCTACTAAGTGAATGTTAATAAAAAATTATAAAAATTAACAATCTTGGTAGAATTTATAAAAAGATGATGTATACACAATTGTAATATTGTATCTTTGAAATTCAAAGCTCGTGAAGTTAATGAACCATGCTATGCTGCTTTTATTAATTGATCGTTCAAGTTGATTGTAATATCTACTTGTCAAAAAAATTCAAGTTTCTCATATTTCTGCATCGCTTGCTTTGAACCGAAGTCGGCCGGCGTAATAATCGTCCTGGTGGCAACAAGCATCTCATTAGCGCACCGACAACCCGCGAGGATCCAACCTCGGAAGACAAATTGTTGAATCGCAAGTACCTACATAAAGTCCCTTTCACGTCAGTTCCTTTTTCTGTGCGGGGCATCAACGGTCAAGTGAAAGTGACCCGCTTCGTCGTGTATAGGGGCACACGCGAGCATCTAGTCACCCGCGAATCCAAGTTTGCAACTCGAATTCCACGCCGAGCAAACCGGCAAGGATCAAACGAGGTCGTGAAGAAATGACGAAGAGAAATGACTTGAAGGAGTCACTGCGAAGTATTATTATTGCGCCACCGAATCCGCGTCTAATCGGTCTTCTGCTACCCTCCCGCGAGAGAGAGAGAGAGAGAGAGAGAGAGAGAGAGAGAG